TACAGTCTCTCTCACACACGTATTTTTTTTAGCCCTAATTTTTTCTATTTTTGTTAACTTGCTAGGTTTTATCTCCTCCTCTTTATGCACATACATTTCTAATTATTTACATGGAATCTGCTACAAATAAAATGATCTTTCCCCAGGCTGGCTTATCCTTATAATGTTAAAAAAAAAAAAGCATGGTATATGTAATGAACACATACGTGGAGTATGCAGGCATTTTGCATCATCCTGACTCTTTGTAATTAGCAGATACATATATACTGGGAGAGAGAGAGAGAGAGAGAGAGAGAGAGAGAGAGAGAGAGAGATCAGTTAATTAATGCGCGTGCTGCACTTTGAAGATTTAAGGAAGGATATGAATGCCAAACATAGTTGTCATTGATATTATTAGCAAGAAGCAGCAGCTCTTCACAAAAAAAAAGGAAACAAGAATAAAGTTTTTCACAAGGTAGGAATAATTTGGAAATCAATGATTTCAAATGTATCACACATTGTTTAGAAACTTGAGAGGAAAGGCTCTGAATTACGGATGTTAATTTTCATTCATTAAATACTTCTTCAAACAGTATCTGAAGGAGATGAAAAGCACTAAGTTGTACTCAGCATATGCAGATTCCGACAGAAGTCATGATAGCAAATGCAAATTTAGCATTCTAAGCCGAGGTTCTTCGGGAGTGTTTTTTTTTCCCCCCCAATCTTTTCCTTACCAATGCAGCGGGCGGTAGCCGCAGTGTGCTGCTTTAAAAAGGACCAGGTATTGGGGGGCCTTTCCTAGAACTGGGCAGATGGACCAGCACTAGTCAGCTTTATGCTGCCTCATTTACTTAGTGTTTTGCAATCCTTAATGTGCACAGCTGGCAGCTGAATGCAGGTCTGATTCTAACAGTTTAGACATCTTTAGATGTAGCAGATGGAAAATTTTACACAAATAAAGTAGGAAAAAGTGTGCAATTAAGGTTCTTTTTTTAAAAAGGGGGGGGGGAGAAAAAAATCTGTAGTTGCTCGATGCATCCTGTACTCCATTTGTGAAGATCCCCCTAAGTGGGTGGCCATCTTTTCAGAGTCCACATCCCTACCTTCATGGCACACTACATTTAACGCTGGACACATGCCCAACTCTAAACTTCTATTTTTGTTGAGTGTGAATGAAATACAGAATGCAGCAATCAGCAAAAATGGGATGATGGGAAGAGGGGTGAGGCCAGACTAATAATGTAATTGTATCAGCCTAGGACATTATGGTTGCATTCCAAGCTACTTAAGTCACAATGGTAAAATCTTTGGCAGGGCTTGTCCGTCCCCCCCCCCCCAAGATGTTCATTATTATGGGTTGTAAAGAAAATGAGTTGGTTTTTTTTTTAAAAAAAAAAAAGTCTTATGGAATGTATCACTTTCTTAGATCTTGTAGACATGCCGTGGAAACCATAACACAAAATATGAGTTACTTACAATAACTAATTTTAATCCCATCTGCTAAGTATGACAACATTAGCATTTCCACTTAATTAAAAACACCCTTAAAGCAGCAATGTTTTAATCACTCCATTTTATTTACTCTCCTCTGGTGTCACTTATAATTGTAACTTTTTATTTTTTTTAATAATGAGACGGGTTTTTTTCTCTCTCTGCATCACACAAAAAAGTGCTGTCGATAATTAGCAGTCTTCTGTTATTACTAGACTCAGGTGTCACAACTGTGTCTCATCCTCATTACAGTAAAAAATTTCACCTATCAGATTCATTATTGCTAGATAATGCAACTGAGAGACTTAGCGGGCCCTCCAGAAAAGTAATTCAGCCAAGCAAAATTATCAGCTAATTATATTTAGAATCAGACGCCCAACAACTATTTGCAGATAAATTGTATGAATTGAAGGGGATAGATTTGAATATTAAGATTCATAGATTTAGCAGATGATTTGTTAATTGGAATATAAAGGTCATTTTAACAATGGAGTTAGAGGGACTCTGTTGTTTCACCAGAGATACTTGGAATTAAGAATCAAAATAAAGGATAAGTGTAGTTGCCATGGTTTGAACTTAGCATCTACAAGGTTATTATAGAAAAATGTTACGTTGCTTCTAAATTGCTACCAAAATTAATAGGCAGCCTATCTTCCACAATGCATAGACCAACTTCTGGATCCCATCCACATGTGTAAACTAATGGCTAATTTCCCATACAGTTTCTCCTTATATATATCCTAGGATTAATAGCAGATCACTCTTTGTTGAGCTTACCTAGCATTTTTAACTGAGGTCTTTTTTCTTTGTTTCTTTTCTGAATGAAAGTTTGTGTTATACACTACATCTCATGTTCTGTTTTCCCTAAATCCTCTAGGAATATATTGGCAGTTGTTTATTTTTGTATCAGTATGTAAGGTCATTTTCAAATAAAAGGATTAATTCCAAATCCTACCTTTTATCTGTCAAACTACATAAATATTGGATCCTGATTTTATTACTTAGTGAAACAGAGAAAGTCCTTGCAAAAAAGTGTTTTAAAGATGACACCAACTGCTGGTTGGCCTACTATTCTGTTTTAGGAAATGAAATAATAGAAAATTCACATTTTTTCTTACATAATCTCATCATCTGAACTCTACTGAATTTTGTGTGGCTAACAAAGTATTCCTTTAAATTCTCTGAAGAAAACTGATTAATGGCCAAAAAGTTACTACATCACACAGTGTATTTGTATTATACAAATGCCATATCAGGAGATGCAGTGGTTAGAATGCACTATTGGAGGCAGGTGTTCGATCCTGACCAGCTCAAGGTTGACTCAGTCTTCCATCTTTTTAAGATCAGTAAAATGAGGACCCAGATTGTTGGGGCAAACTGCTGACATTGTAAACCACTCAGAGAGTGCTGTAAAGCAGAGTTCTCCAACATTTCCAGCTTTGTGGACTAGCGGGAGGGGGAGAGGGAATGGTTCCGTGCAAGCGGGCAGCAAGTGGGCGTGAACATATGCCTGCTGCTCACTTAAATGGAGTGTGCTCGCTCACCCGCTGCTTGTGCAAGTGAGGATGCACATGTGCACACTACCCAGGCATTTCCATGGCCCGGCTGCAAACCCCTCATGGCCCACTAGTGGGCCATGGCCCACAGGTTGGGGACCCCTGCTGTAAAGCACTAAGGAGTGGTATATTACTCTCAGTGCTAAGTGCTATATTTATAGATTTTGGATTGGACATCCTATCCAAGCTTCTCCAATTCCTGACAAGCATGATTGAGTAACAAACATGAGTAGCCATGGAAGAGGTGTGGAGAAGCATGATAATCCAAATAATCTCATGGAATTCTCTTTCAGTTTTGCAAGCTGCTTTCTTGCATTTAAGGATATAGGATTGTATGTAATTGAAACCACTCTGCTGATGGAATGTTCATTAATCTCCTGGAAACTTAAATCAGTGGAACAAAAGAAATATGGTTTTGTGTATGTTAATTCTCACTGCATTTGCCTACTTCCCATGCTGATCTAAATAGGGCTAAAGGAGTGAAGTGCTCCCTTCCTCATAGCACTGACGGAACCCTCCACTACATCAAGAAAGCATCCAGTCTGCTAAATTAACACCTGCTGGATACAAACTATAAATTTTGAAGCTGTCTTTATTTACAATTCAGTTAAGCTATAGATATTCCATTTCAAAAACAGAAGTAAAATCAGCTAAATTAATGTACACACAAAATGCGTATCTTTTTTAAAAGGTAGAAGAAATGGTTGGGGAAAAAACCCACAAATGATTATATGGTCAAATAATCACGTTGCGACTAAGTTTTATCTTCAGCATTTTTGAAGAGAAAGTAGATACTGCATTGAGGGGAAAAAATCAAGTCCTTTAACATGTTGGATGCTATTCAAATAAATTATAAGATAAACTTATACAGGGTGGTTTCAAGTGTAAAATGTGGTTTCAGATTATTTTATAATTTATTTAAAGTATGGTTTCCACCTTGCTATGTAATTTCTGGCCAATAGAATTTCCAGTTTTGTTTATAAAGTTTTTTGTATACTAGATGAATAACCATTGTGCTGAACAATCACTGCCTGCAAATATGTGCGTGCTATTATTTTCTAGCTTTTTCGATTGCTGTCGCCATTATTTTGCTGTTATAATCCATTTGATCATGGATACCAGAGTGGTTGTGTCTCAAGCATGCTTCTCTTCCACAAGAGCAATAATAAGCTTGTAATTAGTCATTAAAAGTTTATAGACCTGTAAGTATAACTAAGTCTGTTCAAGTATACCTCCTCCAACTCTTTCAGGCAATGTCACTGTATTTCTTTACATGAATAAAAGAGGGACATTTCTGTGCCAGGCTAGCTCATGCTCAGAGGCTTTGTAACCACGTTAATTTGGTGCAGATACATGTCATTTTGAAATCTATCCAGCGCAAAGAGTATTGAGTATGGGAACAATTCCCCATCTTTATTTATGCCGCTAAACCTAAATTTTTCCCTCATTGGGCTTTACCCAGTGGAATGGGACAACTTGCCGTGCCCAGTTCACCGCTGCCAATTCACCATGAGGCAAGTCGCCGCGGCCAATTCAACAATTTTATTTAATTATTTAAAATAATTTATTTTTTTAAAATTTTTTTGTCATTCACGTTTTATTTTGTCCTTCCTTTTGCATCCTTTCTTTAATGATTCTATTTCACCCTTTCTTTGATATTAGTGTAACTTTTGCTCCACTCAAAGTTGTCCCGTGTTCCAGTTGGTCGTGGCGAGTTATCCTAGACCGGGGGGTCCTCAAACTTGGCCACTTTAAGACTTGTGGACTTCAACTCCCAGAATTCCCCAGCCAGTCCACAAGTCTTAGAGTGGCCAAGTTTGAGGACCCCTATCCTAGACCCTCACCCAGTGCCTGCACTTGAGAGTGTAGTTGTGATGTTCATTGATCCTAGAGAAACATCAGCTACTGAGCTAGTCTGCTTGCTGTGATACTTTGGGTCAATGCTGCTGGTTCTTGACTGTGTTGCAGAAGGAGAGGAGGAGTGTTGCAGGTTCCTCACTCTTCCCCAGTTACCATAAAGAAGAACGGCCCATATTTGTATCCTGTGTCTGTCTACTGCTTATATTTTTTTAAAAAAAATGTACGAAGCCTTTTAAAGAAAAAGAAAGCTTTGATTTGATTTATTTAGCTCACAAAACATACGCTTACTGTTCCATTATATGCAATTTATGTGATCAATAAAATTATTATTATTTGTTTTTTTAAAAAAGAGAAACTTTGGCATATAAAGAGATTATACTGATGCTGAGGGAATATGATTGTTGCAATCCAACTTCTGTGCTACTTGCCAGAAATACTCTTTGGGGCTCAGTAATGCAATAATAATAATACACAATCTGCATTCCCCTGTATTAGGATAGAAGCGGTGCATTGTGGCTGTTACCCCCTCTGTCCGAATGCTTTGGTCTATCCAGAAATATTTCCAGGTAGTATCCTATCTGTATGTTTCTTTTTCCCCCCCCCTTTTTTTTAAGGGGGGAGGTATTTTAATTTATAATTAATTTGGAAATACAAAGTTTGAGTATAAACTTAGGCAAGAGCAATTGTTTATTTGGCAAGCGACCATGTTAGCGCTAAGGAATTTTTTAATGTGTTTTAATACATTAGACGAAGTTTATATTTACCATCTGTTCTTTCAAGATAACACAAAAGCTAGTTTTGAAATAGCATTCTTCATTGTTAGTATACACAGCCTTATAATGATAGATTTTATTAAAAAGGTCGCTTTGTCTATGATAGCACGCAGATTTTTTCCCCCCTTTTAATGATATTCAAAGGAGAAAAAAAATAGGCCTGAAAAATCATACCAAATTATTTTAAACAATGTAATACTTAATAGTATGCAGTCCTGCTATGGGGTAACACTAATGTAGTACCAATGCTTTGAAAAAAAAATCTCATCACTAAATGTCTCGTATATGCATTGTGTTACATTAATATAATGTATTTTAATCACCCAAAGGAGATGTCTAAACAGCACAACTACATAGCCTTATTTAGCATTAAACATCCTTGTGAGCTGAGGTAACCTTATAAAATCATGCTTAAATAATGTAAAACACGAGGCGGCACAGAGCAATATGCATTTTTAATTAGTAAAGTGACTAATATCGAGTGTGTGCTTTGAGGTTTTTGTTTCATTAAAAATGTATCTGTTTTTCCTGCAGCTGAATATCTGTATTCTACACCTGAACAGCTTATTAAAAGGCTTCAGAATTTCTGCAAGAGACCAGAGATTATAAGGAAACATCTTTATAAGGTATTTATTCAGAGCAAGCACACGATGCAGTCTTTTCTTAGTGGGAAAAAAAAGCAGAACCCACCCAACCCTCCTTCCAAAACAAGGAGGGAAAAACAACAACAACAACAAAAAACCATTTAATTAACATCCTACTGTTTAAAGGAAACATGCTATGGAGGGATATTAGTTGTTATACTAACAAGGATTAATTACACTGGATGCCACTTGTATTAACCCAAGGTCTTATAAAATATGTGCACTTAGTATATGCTATACACTTTGTCTTCTTTTTTAATTTATTGTTTTCTAAAGTGACTGTCCACCACACATGGACCCAAGAGGCTTATAAAAATGAACCTGGATTAATTTAATCCATTAGTTTAAAAGGAAAGAAAGAGAGGGGGAGAGAGATCCTACAATTATGTTAATAAGTGGAGCTTACTTTGTCCTATCAGATGATGACCCAGGTATATTTCTCCCTCTCCCTTTAACTTGTTTTGAATATTTCAGAGAATGCCTAATGCACTGCAGTCTGTCTGTCTGTCTGTCTGTCTGTCTGTCTGTCTGTCTGTCTGTCTGTCTGTCTGTCTGTCTATCTATCTATCTATCTATCTATCTATCTATCTATCTATCTGCCTATCTATCTGCCTATCTATCTATCTATCTGTCTATCTATCTGTCTGTCTGCCTGCCTGCCTGCCTATCTATCTATCTATCTATCTATCTATCTATCTATCTATCTATCTATCTATCTATCTATCTATCTATCTATCTATCTATCATCTGTCTGTCTGTCTGTCTGTCTGTCTGTCTGTCTGTCTGCCTATCTGCCTGCCTGCCTGCCTGCCTGCCTGCCTGCCTGCCTGCCTGCCTGCCTGCCTGCCTGCCTATCTATCTATCTATCTATCTATCTATCTATCTATCTATCTATCTATCTATCTATCTATCTATCTATCTATCTATCTATCTATCTATCTACCTACCTACCTACCTACCTACCTACCTACCTACCTACCTATCAGTACATACACACATATACACATATAAACACACACAGATATAGTTATATATATTGTTATTTATTTATTTGTATCCCACCTTTATTATTTTGACAAATAACTCAAGGCAGCAAATGTATCCAGCACACCTTCCTCCTCATATTTTCCACAGAACAATAATCCTGTAAGGTGAATTGGGCTGAGAGAATGACTGCCCCAAGGTCTCCCAGCTGGTTTTCAGGGTTAAGGCAGGACTAGGAAACTCCCAGTCTCTCAGTTTCTAGCCTAGTGCCTTAGCCACTGGACTAAACTGGCTCTTTGTACAAGTTCTGCCTCACCCAAACCACTGTAAATGAGTCCAGTTTTGGTGCTTTGCCTTTTAATGGCATTTTTAGGCTAAGTTCAGGAGAAAAAAAATCACAAGAAAAAGAGTAAGCCTTTTCTCTTCCTGTTTTTATCCTCCTGAGGCAGTGAGTAACAGAAAGTAAGGCAGAATACACTAAAATAGTATTATTTATTATTATTTGTTAAATTTATTTGCCACCTATCTTGCGTGGGACTAGTCTAGGAGGCTTACAAAAAGAAACAAGGAAGAAAATGTCCAAAAAGATGTCCAAATGATTCTAGAACATTCATGCATGAAATCTGCAAGTCCCACACTGGATGTTTTTTTTTAGATTTCCAGAATGAATAAAAAGAGGAGGCAAAGATACAGGACTTCATGTTTTTGGAACATCATGATAAGGATATGCAACATGATGCCCAGGCACATTTCTCATATCCCAGCTCTCCCTTAAAAAAAAAACAACCTTTAAAAGGAAATGAAAACCCATCTTTGTTTATAAGGGTGTCCATAAGCACTTCTTCATTGATTCTGGCTGAAGTGGCAATAATGCGGGAACTAATCCAGATGGCAGAGATCAAGGATACCAGCTTGCCTTTTTGACAAATGCCTATTTCTGACAGGCTCTGTTCAATGTGGTTGCCGCTACCAAAGTCGGCCAGGTCCCTCTGTGGCAGCCATTTTGCAGGTATGCCCACAACAGTCTCTTAGATTCCAGTAGTTTCTACTGACCCAAAATATTTTCCTCTTCATTTGCTACAGTGTATAGATTTGCTGTAACAAATAACATTGAAAAGTGTGGATGTTTGCATTACAAGTAGTCCTTGTTTAGCGACCAAAATTTGGGATTGACAACTCAGTCATTAATGAAGTGGTCACTAAGTGAAACCACAACTGTGCTTCCTTACTTGCTCTATCTATCTATCTATCTATCTATCTATCTATCTATCTATCTATCTATCTATCTATCTATCTATCTATTATATTTTTACGATGCCTGTCTCCCATACAATGTGATTCTGGATGGCTTATCATCTTTCTTCAGTTCTCCTGTGCTTTGCGAAGGTTATAAACATGAGAATTGGTCATAATGTTACTTTTTCATCTGCATCATAACCACTAAACAAGGACTGCCTATATTGTTTGTGTGTGTGTGTGTGTGTGATTTTATCTGATTTCAATTCCCAGGCCCCCCCCTTACACTATTTCACTATTGCGCATCATTGCTGTATCTTTGCGATGTTCATTCATTATCGATATCATTCTGAAACATAAAATTATGTCCCTCAAGGGTGGGTGCTTTCTCTTAGCTCCTCTTGGAAACTGTGGCAGAGGGGCCAAGCCATATCGGTACAGGCAGTACAGGCAGTCCTCTATTCACGTGAAGTGTTAATACCACTTTACAATGCCTTGGTAAGGCCACACTTAGAATACTGCATCCAGTTTTGGTCACCGCGATGTAAAAAAGATGTTGAGACTCTAGAAAGAGTACAGAGAAGAGCAACAAAGATGATTAGGGGACTGGAGGCTAAAGCATATAAGGAAAGGCTGCTGGAATTGGGTATGTCTAGTTTAATGAAGAGAAGGATGAGGGGGGACATGATAGCAGTGTTCCAATATCTTAGGGGCTGCCACAAAGAAGAGGGAGTCAAGCTATTTTCCAAAGCGCCTGAAGGCAGGACGAGAAGCAATGGGTGGAAACTAATCAAGGAGAGAAGCAACCTAGAACTAAGGAGAAACTTCCTGACAGTTAGAACAATTAACCAGTGGAACAACCTGCCTCCAGAAGTTGTGAATGCTTCAACACTGGAAGTTTTTAAGAAGAGATTAGACAGCCATTTATCTGAAATGGTATAGGATTTCCTGCCTGAGCAGGGGGTTGGACTAGATGACCTCCAAGGTCTCTTCCAACTTTACTATTATTATTATTATTATTATTATTATTATTATTATTATTATTATTATTATTATTATTATTATTATTATTATTATTATTTACAATCACAATTGAGACCAGAATTTCCCTTGCTAAGCAAGGCGGTTCTGAAGTGAGTCGCACCTGATCTTATGATCTTTTGGGCCACAGTTGTTGAGCAAATCAATGCAGCTGTTCAGTGATTCACACACTTCTTAAGCAGATCTGGCTCCCCCCCACCCCAACCCTAACCCTAACACCACTATCCTCGACTTTGCATATTGGAAGCCAGCTCGGGGTCGTCCGCAAATGACAATCACATGACCCTGGGACATTGCAGCAATTGTAAATACTTGTCAGTTGCTAAATGCCCAAATTTTGATCATGTGATTGTGGGAATGCTGTGACAGTCGTAAGCGCGAGGGCTAGTCATAAGGCGTTTTTTCAGTGCTGTTGTAATTTCAAAGAGTCACTAAAAACAAACGGTTGTAAGCAAAAGACTATCTGTAATGGGGTTTTAATATGCCCACTTTTGCAACCTGGGACCTCACTTGGCCCTTTTTCTCTCTGACCTTACCTGAAATAAATTTGCAGTGAATATGATGTCAACGTACTTAATATTTTTGTTTCTTTTTTTTGTCACCTTAAAAAAAAAGTATAATTCAGCAGCAATTTTTCAAGCAAATTTTGCAGCAATTTTGCCATTTTGCACAGTTGAGGCTTTGGAGGAAGGGTGCAGGTTGTTTGGGGAAACAACGTGTGAAAACATTCTTAACAGATAGTACTTTTCTGTGCTGCCCATGAAATCCATGCTTTTCCACGCAGCAGTGTGTCTTGCTGCTTTATATTCTGGGGGGTGGGGGTGGGGGAAGTGTCACATCTGCCTTTTAGAATCCTAGATGGCCCAGAAATAGAGTTGATTCTGCTGCTAATAAATATATGCTTGATAATACGATTGGGACACAATTCATCCCTATTCTGTTTAGGATAAACGCACAATTACATGCCTCCTCCCTTCCCCAAAAGGATTTCTGACTCCTCCCCTTGATATTTTTTGTAACTCCTCCATGCCCCCCTCCCCCCAGTGCCCCACATCTGTGCAAGTGAATGAAAATAATTTTGTTCTTTACACATACAATTTTATGGGTGACCTAAGAGTGGACATTTATGTGAGGGCACACCAACAGGGAATATTGTTTCTGCAGGAAATGGTTAAACCTCAAGAAAAAAAAAGGGAGAGAACCAAAAATGCAATTTAACACCCAATTTCAAGCTCATTATCTTTCATTGTCTATTAAGTTGGCAATGGTTCAGAAGGTAGCTCATAATAGTTTAAAATGCTGACTGAACACTTCCAGTGCTCAACATTACTTCTTGAGTCAATACTATCACATAGCTATACATGAAGAGAGAAAAAATAACTTAATTTTTTTAACTTGACATTAGTTCTTCCTGTAACTGCAGTTAGACAGTTTTGTTTCAGACAGCTTGCTTGCTTCGTGGCTGGGGGCTAGAGTCTTTTGCATTCCATTTTGCGTTCATTATGGACTGGAGAGTATTAACGAGTATGATTTCCAAAAAGCGGGGCCGAAAAAACAGATGCCTTTTGTGCAAGTTCCAGTAAGTAAAATGCTTCATTGGCTACAAGTGTCTCTGGGGAAAACACACTCCTTGCTAAATTATATCCAGGCAGTGTTACCTGGCACAATCACCACAGGTTCATCACGTCCGATGGGTACAAATTACTCCTAATCTAATCCTG